CTTTTGGCCATAAATATATAAATATCATATTGAATATTTCGAAATAAAGTATTCACCTGAGACTAAAGGTTTACAGTACCTATAATATATTATTATTCCATAACATTTTTATCATAAATTCGCGGAAAATAAATAACAACCATTAATTGATCAAATAATATAAGTGTTTTTTTTTTCAAAATGTAATAATAGATCTTTTATAAACATCGACTTCGAGCTTTTTCAAAAGACTTGCGCATCATTAAATACGGTTTTCTGAAGCAGGCGATGTAGGTTTAATGACCATGTTAAGATACAGCATATTATTATATATATTTTTTTTTCAGATAGAAATAAATAAAGAACCAAAGTTCGATTACTTTGTTATGTTGTTATGGGCAAGTTGACATGGTTCCATTTAAACCGGGAAATTAGTTGCTATTCGTCCTCTTCCACTCCCCGCCCATCGCTTTCCGGCCAAAAGTCGTCGCACCGTGTCCAAACGGCACTCTTATATGGTCAAGGTCCGGTGAAGTCCATTAATTTAAGCTCAGCAGGAAATGTCCTGAACAAATAAATCTCGCCAAGACAAAAACCATAATGTTAGCTTATTGTGTCCCCCAGCTAAATCGATATTATACAAGGAGACTCGAGGTATTAAAATATCGCTGCTGGTTGTATAGGTGCTGCCTGGTCACATAATATAATATATACGCATTCCTGTAGCCATGCTCACTTCCGGACAACAGCTGTATGACTATATTACACCTCACCAACTACCGGAGTCTCGAGCGACCGAAAATTTCCAAACTAATTATAAAAATTAAATGCTTCTCTTGATGGTAAATAAACCGGAAGTGCGTTGCGGCCGACTCGTTAACTGCCGCTACTCTCTAAAACTACAGTGTCAACGGAGAACCTTCAGTTTGACGATATTACCATAACAAAGAGAGAAAAGTTTTCGAAATTCAATCGCAAGCAATTGGCAATCTGTTACCACTTTTTTTTATTTCTTTATGGATATACATATATATATATATATATATATATATATAATCAAAAGAAATTCCATTTTAGACGATGAAAAAAAAAGTGTCGATTTGAATGGGAGACCCTCGCGCGTTGGTTATATTAAAATGTATTGTCAGTGGAAAACAGCCTGTTTTGCATAATTGAACGAAGAAAACATAAGTGGTCCACAAACTGTATATTTACTTTTTAGGTGTACAGCAATAATATTATTATAAAGGAACGGCGGGGTGGGACAACCCTTTGTCATATAATTTTTATTGAAATTAATATTTGAGAAAAAAAAACGATGACATTTATTCGCCATTAATAACATCGAGGGTGGAGAATAGTCCGTTTGTAATTATTTCAACGGCGGCTGTCCCGTCGACGACGACAATCGGAAACAAGCCATATATTTATATATATATATATTATATACCTAAATCCTCTCGTTTTTGCGTCTCGTTCGAAACCAATTCATAACAATATATCGTTCTCAAAAATAATAGAAATAACCACTTTTACGATGGTCCATTGTCAGACATTTTTGTAAGATCGATTTCATGTCGTTGATGTTAATCGCTAAGGCAACTACCAGGAAAATATAATATTTTTTAACTTACGATTAAAATATAAAAGCAGCCAGACAACTGTATAGTAATATTGTACTTTCTTAGATCATCGAATATTAGTATAAGGTTATTCACTTATTCATCAGCAGAGATTTGTAATCGATAATGTGACGACCTCTCGACAGTCTCGAAGTTTAATTGGATTTGATTTATAGGTACACCTTACCTTATTATGTTTCTAGATTTTTTAACACCGAAATCGATATGGTAACGTAAAAAAAAGTATAGAAATTAGTACTGGACAGTAATAATAATCACAGTTATAATAATGCTATCGTTTTATGAAATACCGAATAGTTTTAAATAATTCAATATAATATTTTATTCATTCCAATAGCTGTTATATTTATTTCCGCTGATTGCAAATACGTATAGGTACCTAGTTTTTCTGTTTAATACGTATTTATGTTTCATAATATTATCTTTCGACTTATACGTCATTTTATATTAGATAATATAAATTTAAGTTAAATTATTAAATTATAAAAATAATTATAAAAAATATTTTTTCATAATTGTAGCTCATTTAAATTTAAATTATTCTGTTACTAGTTTACATAATATGTCAACAATTATTACTATTTATTCGTTTGGTATTCTCAATTTTTACGGTAATGTTAATAGGCGTGGTGTTATGTCATTTGAATAGGTATAGTTATTTAATACGGTATTTATAAGGATTACATTGACGAACTACATTTTGGAATATAAGTAGGTATATTATAACAAAACAAATTAAACTGTAAAAATAATACTTCTAAAACTAAAAATTAGGAGGAAGTTGGAGACCAATCTGCTGTGCAGTTGCAGTCCCAGGTCTCAAAAGGGTATCTCCAAATATTGAAATGGTGGTAAAATGACATAACAAGTTTTGGAATGAAATGAACTCATACGCTTTTCCTTAAACCTTTGTTGACAATTTTTTAATAAGCTAATTATTATTATCAATGTGTTTAGATAAAAAAAAATCTAAAATGTCTATTAAAAAAGGTCTACACATATATAGCACGGAAAAATCAAAATATTTTGAAATTATACAAAGTATAGAAAACGCTAATATGAACAATTAGTGAAAATTAAAAGTATACACTAGGTACGCTTATTTGTATTTGAGTAACAACAAAATGAAAAAATCGATTTTGTCAAAAACTATAATTTTGTGTAAAAATTCCAGTTTTCCCGAACATTTTTTTTTTGTTTTCCCGATCGTTTCGAAATGTACGTACTGGGAATTTTTAATTTTAAATTCTCAAACGTACTGACTAGATTCGTTACCAAGAAATATATTTATATTGAATATCAAAGCGTTTTTTTTAATCTAAATGAAGTACATTCATTACACTCACATCATTGTAAACTGAATAACGTCATTAATACGCTAAAATAAGAATCTAAAATATTATAATATTATATATCTATTATATTCAAATTGAAATAAATCATATTTAACTTATTATTTAAAAAATAACTGATATTAAAATAAAATAAAATATAATAAATACTAAGTATATTTATTAATCAAGTGAATTATGTCGTTATGTACCAAACAATAAAAGTCGTACAACAACTACAGGAGTTCGCTATATTCTTAATAAACCCGAATAAAATGCATATAAGTACTTGAGGATCATCAACAATTTCATCAAAACTATTAGTTTGTTTACTTTTATCTTTTATTTAAACAGCAATTAAGAGGGTTGCGTGATACCCCTATTTTTATTTCAAAATACCCTAGTTGGTAAAATACGGGTGGGCTAATTTCTTTGATATGAATCCTGGAAATACCGAATCAGTAATTTAGTATATATTTTATAAATACATTTTTTTTTAAACTTGAATTTCATTTGCTATATAAACGACAGTTATATGTAAACAAAATTTAAACAATAATAATAATTACAAATTATTAGTTGTTAAAAAATATATTTGTGTCATCAAACTAAACATAAAAGTGCCAATTTTAATTATTGTCTATTATTACAACAATCGCACATTAATTAAAGCAATATTGACAAATGACAAATCGATCGTGGAGCATTTTATTGTTGTTATTACTTTTTTATTATTATTATTACATTTCACAAACTGTACTTCTCTAATCTTATTTTAGGTTTTTTAAACTCGTTTTATAGCCATTATAAAATTAATTGAATTATTATATAATTTTATCATACGGTATCTATCGTCATAAAATAAATCATAGATTGTCAATACTTAAATCGTGTTTGAAACGTTGCCAATATTTTTCAAAAAATTGAATACGACTTTGTTTGGAAAACGCCACGAATATCTACATAATTCACTCTTTGTATAAAATATATAAATTTGTATTTTGCAGGAAATAGTGTATTTTATAATGTTTCAATGGAATATATTATAGATTATGACGTGGAGAATGATTTATTGATTTATAATGCATAATTGGTCATATAGTATTTTTAGGTTTTTAGGGATTTTCTGTACGTAGCTTATAATAATATTATTCAGTATCCAATTCTATCCAAAAAATTCTTGGATAGTATATTTATTTCACTATTATTTTGGAAAAATAAAGTCGGAAGTGTATGCAATAAGAATTTGTGATAACATTATAATATATAATATATATTATATTTAATTGAAAAGGAAAATTTCACTTGCTGAAAAGCCTCCCTTTGTTGGCTCTCCTACTGACATTTTATTTTAGATAATATTTTATAAAAATTTAGCTGAAAAACTATATTATTGTATTAAGTAGAATTAAACTATCAAAATACTACGATTAGTAAAATGCTTTACAAGTTGATTCTAACAATGTCGGTTTATCAAAAAGTCCGTGTAATTATTTGCGATAATTTAGTAGTGAGAGATATCGCTTGTTAAAGATTATTTCAATAGTTGAAGAATTGGATATTATAGGCTTATAGTGGTGTTACTGATGTTAATTAACTTCAAAACTAAGAGCAAATATTGAAGATAATTCCATAGTCTTTATTTGGTTCAATACAATTGGAAAATATAGAAAACTTTGAGTTATTTGACATAAATAAAATATATATGTGTTCAAAGTAATTTTACAGAAAAATTATGTATATTAATGTTCATAGGTACACATATAGTTATTTATAGACATTAAATAACAAATCATGTTAATTTTTGTAATAGTCAGCTCTGAATTTGTGATGACCGTCGCGTTGTTCAGTTGTAGTATACTACACGTAAACTTTGGGAATAAAATATTTAACCTCTTTATCACGAAAATCAGAATTTATTTAAGCTGAGACATTAATTTGCAGATTAATCATTTTGATGTTTATAATGAATAATATTTTATTGGCTATAGAAATTATAATATTTTTTAATGATACACCATTTATGAAAAATAAATTATTTCCACAGGGTGTAATGGATATCAGCCAAAGTTCACCGAACCCATTGGCAACATCACCGTGCCAGTCGGCCGAGAAGCTATGTTTACGTGTTACGTTCACGGCTTAGGTGGTTATAGGGTGAGTGTTATTTTTTTATTTATATAATATTATTATATTCTCATAGGGTACGTAAAAATGATTGTATTAGGGAATTCTTCAGGTTTTCGTAATTAATTCTAGTGTTGCAAATAACATTATGCAGAGTTGCAAACTCTTAGCTATCTCTTAGATTTATTAAAATGTCTAGTTAGATACTCCTTTAATGTTCTCAAGTTATTCAAAGCGCAATTAATGAATTCCATAAAATACTAGGCAATAAATTTCTATTTAGTGTACAATGTACATGACCATTTATTTCTTAAAATCCCCTGAGAATCAAGTAAAAATATTTACTTCTTCGGTGTTATGAATTCAAAGAGTTTTATCATATAATATAATAATAAAAGAATTGTCTGGGACTGTATCGACATTCTGCTATTACTTACTCTGCAGTTCAAAGTCATGATGATAATTGTTATGATAGAATAATATACAAATAATTTGTGATGACTACCGTGATTGTCTACGACTAGTGAATCTATAATAAACATTACCTGTATTGAATAAATTTGTTTAGTACGAAAAAGGGGATGATTTATAGGCTATAGTCTATAATATTAAATCGACAAATTAAATTTATTATTATTGCTATTGTTTATTTGTAAACATATAGACCATGTTTTATTATCCAACTTGACCTGTGAACTACACTGGACCGCGGTTAATGATAATTATTACTTTATATTTACTTCATAATTCCATTCACAGTATTGTAATGCAAGGGAGTTGAGAGAGTTTATACTCAATTTGCATCAAATGCCAACTAAATAGGTTTATACACTATTATATAACGCTGTAAAATCTTAAATTTAAATGAATATTATACTGAGATAGTGTGAGATGTTACATCTAACAACGTTTTTAATTTAAACGCATAAGCGATAAGCATAGACAATGATTTGTTTACCTACCTACTTATAGTGTATAAGTTAATTGTTACGGGAAATATTATCATAACAATCAACTACATCTAATAGCGGTAATCTAAAGGTATTATCGACATCGCAATGGACAACGGTACAGTACAGGGAGTGGAAATATGTGCATATTGCAAAAAATGATTGCCGATCATGTCCTGATACGTGTAAAATAAAGGCGAAGGTAAATAATATAATATGAACAACAACATAGATGGAGTAAATATTTACACTATAAAAGGAAATGTTATCGTACATTACAAGCTGGGTATAATATGAGAATATTTTCAAGAGTTTTTCTCTTAGTAGCGTAACAATTGGTGGAAAAGTGATTTCGCGTGCGACGAAAACACGCAGCGAGCAAGTTAGATAGAGAGGAGGCGGGAGACAGAGTGAGAGAGACGTTAAACCAATAATAAAGCGGGACAAGTAACACGTGTAATATAACGGTGGGTCGGAGATATTATTGCGAAGACCAGGTAGTTATTATTATTTCATGGTGGGCCTGTTTTGCATGGCAAACGATTGGAATATCCGGAGACGAAATTCCGCATACTACTGTGCTACTAGCTTCCTTGAATACCAAAATAGCCTCACATGTGCGCACACGGCGGGGTCGGTGGGTGGCCGGTGGTGTATACGAATGTGTATACACCCATTGCCGGGATACGACCGGAAAAGCAATTCGAATGCAACCCGCGAGTGATTTATGACACTTTTATGGCAACCACTGTACAAACGTTTGTTAAATTGATATAAAATGACGCGCTCGATATACGGATAAAACGGATAAGTTTTCAAAGGTTTTGTTGACAATTGGATTCGGTTGTCTTCGAATAAATAGGAACTCGTTTCCGACAGTACCTTTCTAGTCATTGATGTCCTATACACCGAGAGCCTCGCGAAATTACTCGTACTGTTTTTAACATCGATAAGCTGGCTACAGTCCTTCGGCAAGATGCATATTATTATTGATTTTAATCATAGATATAGACGGCAGTACAATATGTCTTTAGGGTTCTGACTCTGAAATGAGATAATTTTAATTGGATTAACGCTCTGGAGGCAAAGCCAATTAACTATCAGATATAGAACCGCGCTCCGCACCACTGTGACTATCGCGTGTCTCGACGTCTAGTACTAGAGAGTTCGTCGACAGCACATTACAATCTTTATTATTCGAGGGAGATTGCTAAATTAAAAAACAACCAGAGTTGATCGATATATATATATATTATAAATTATTATAATGTTTTTGTCATATTGATTAGTCATCTAACATAATATTTAACAGTTTTTGCTCGTCGAGAAAAATTCTATTTAATTTTCTCAGCATAAACGGCTAAATCGACACTATAGTCACTAGGATATGCGTTTTTTGTATTAGTTAATGCATTTATACCGTTAAGAAGTCAGATTTGTTTGATTTATGATGTTTAATTAGTATTTTTTAAATTAGGTTACTTATACAGTACAAAATCCCAACTACTAAGCTATGAATAAGTTTAGATGAAACATGGACATAATTTAAAATCTGATATTTAATTATTTATTTTATGTTTTGAGTGGAGGATCGTATTTGTCGGATTTAATTTATAGTATTCAATTTTTATGGAAATGATTTTACGGGTAAACAAATAATCCTCAAAAAGTTTCATGTTGCACTCTTTAGTAAGCAAATTAAGTAGGTATACGCTTGAAACTGTAATTTTTCAATCATCTGTAATGTTCCTCTTGGCAAAACAAAATATTGGTATCAGTTTATAGTTTTGTTCAATATCGTTCTAAAAATACAATAATTTATAACTATTGTTGATTTAATTTTACATTATAAATCGACCCTACCCTGCACCGACGGGAGCCTGTCGATTCGAGTGCACATACTGTCATACCTATTCGGAATGTGTACTCCGAATATTAATTTAAACGTTAAACACAAATCACACACTATTTAATATAATAGCTTTTATTGTAATTAATTAATATATAAATGTTTCCTTCTTGGTTATGCACTCAGTAACTTTAATCAAGTGGTAGGTACCTACTTGCCGTATATGTATAAGTTAGATTTCGTGATTTTTATATTACCATAGGTAGGTACATTATTATTTTTAAACTTTTAGTTAGGTTCAGGCTATTTATTTTGCGATATTCATGAAAACAAACGGTTTTCATTATTCATTTTTTATTTGGTTGATACATTTCACGTCTAATTTAAAGATTGGACAAATTATATGAAAAAAAAAGTTTTACAAGAAAAGTGTTTTGTCAGAGCGTGTTGAGGGTGGCCAATAGGTTATAACCAACAAATGACAGATTGCGTGTTCGTCGTGTATACATCAGTGACCTGAGTATTCAAAAATAATTTTAAAGCATAAATCTCCATTTATTATGCTATTAACAAACGTCAAAAAAATGTACTACATTTTTAAAAGTGCATTGTTTCCAACATAATAAATTGTATAAGATATGTATATAATGTGTAAGTTGTTAGAAACAATTGAAAAGGTGACTGTGTAATTTGTATTCTAGATTCTAATTGGAGCCAAACTAGTTTTACAATGATGTGTTTCTTTTTCCTTAGTCTATTCTAGATTTTTGATTGAGGAAAATTTTCTTTAATCTAGGTACAACATTGAGAGCAGTTTCTAGTAGACAATTTGAACTTATTGGTCCTTTGGGAAATCAAAAGTATAAAATATACTTATTATTTCCTATTATTAGTACCTACTTCTCTAAATAATTGGGAAAAAATACCAAAAAACAGAGGGAAAATGGGAATATTAGCATAACACCATTTTTAGACAAAATCGATTATTTTTACTGTTAAAACATGAAAATGTAATACAAGGCCTCACAACAGTTTTTTTAAATCAAAAATATTCAGTATATTATATTGTCACATTTAACTGTGTTTGAAAATTTAAATTTTGATAAAATTCGTACAAATTTAAAAAATTTCCAATTTATTTTGCTGTTGAAAATTCTTAAGGTTTTCAATTTTTTATACCTAAAGCTTGTTAAATTGAATACGAATTATTAAATAAATATTTAAGCTACGTAGGCACACATTTTTTTATAGGCACTTTATGTTCAAGTTTTGACAACATTAGATATTTATTATTTACCAAGAAAATAACGATTTCAATGAAAATTTCACTAAAAATTATTAGTTAGTTTGTTGTAATTCAAAAAATATTATTCATAGAAATGTTTAACTTTTTGGTTTACGAAATACATATAAGAATGTTTTATACAGAATAAAGTATATTTTGTATAAATTAAATGTAATCGATTGTGCTTGGAATCGTTTTTCGAATATTAAAATGATTTATAATAAATGTATTATATGAATATAAACTAACATGGATACACAATAGCCACTCGAAATTTACTATACAGAAGAAGCCATTTCACTGCAGGCTTATTCTTATATATTTCCTTTTTAATAACTTTATACTTCTAAAACAATGCATTATTTATAATTTACAATAATTTCTTTGAATTTTCTAAACCTTATTATAAAAGCCAAAATAGAATTAATCCATGAATAAGTACTTCGTGAGTTTATTGTAAATATATCATGATTTAAACTATAGTATAATACTAATATGAAATACGAACAATATTGACTGTCCGGTGAAAATATACCTATATGAAAATTTTAAATAAAATAAGAGGAGTAGTAAATAAATCATAATATTAAATTGTTATGGAATATTATTGTAAACACAGTATTTTTTTAATACCTCATCGCTTATCAGTTATCACTATACTATAGTACTATACTATTATATATAGAAGTTTCATAACGAGTATCGAAAATATGAATGAATACTTATTTTATAGTTAATAACTAATAGTCGAAATAAGTATGGACACTGGTCAATACAACCACAACTGTTTACTAAACCATATTATTACATATCACTTTCAACCATTCTACAAATGATATTGTAAGTCTGCTTAAATGTCCTTTCTACTTTGTCAACCATTTGGTAAACTTTAAGGATTGTTCAAAGCTCTGTTCGACAAAAGACGTGCCGATTGTTCTCAAAGTTTAGCAAAACCGAAGGCTTCACCTTTAGCTACGGAACTTCCATAAGTTTGACTGAATTCTGATGGTTGAGATCTATGATTTTTATATCTTAGTGGTTGATATTTATTTTGAATTTAACTTGATACTATGGTATTATAACCATATTTTGTTAGGTATAATTTTTTTTATTTTTTTTTGTCTCGTGACAATGCGTTTTCTAAGTTTTCAGACTTTTTAAACTGATTCTTATATTAGTTATTTTTATTGTGAACTATTAAATTGTAAATATTTTTACCATCAATATAATATATATATATATATAGGTATATAAGTATATTACACTATAGATAAATCATGAGCAGAGTGATAAATGCATGTGTATTGATTTTAAAATGATGGGTTCATGTGTGTTTTTTAAATTGTTGTTTGTTTGCGTCTATCACTTTTTGGAGCAGTAAAAATGCTTCAATCCTATATTTGAGAAATGTTTCTGTTATAAAATCAGACTATTACATTTGATACTTTTAATACTTAATTTACAGTAGGTATTTTATAATAATTGGAAAAAACTGGGAATTTTACGTAAAGTAAGGTTTCTACAATAAATAGTTTGTTATGGTTAACCTAATCTTAAATTTTTCAACAAATATTTATGTTATTACTATCGAATATTTTGACACATTTTGTGCTATTTTTCGACATTTGAAATTTTTGAGTTTTTAAGATAACGTAACATAACGTAACACAGTTTTATATATTTTGTTGTATTTCAAAATATATTATAAGTAGGGATTTGAAATTTTTCCGTTACTGTGAATATTATTACTGTTATTCATTAAATACAATGTAATTCTCATGATATTTAGATTGATGTCGAGTTATTTATACTACGAACCTATTCACACAATTCTACACTACGTCGGTCGGTATCATCCAATAAGTGAATAACAGCTGTCAGCTAGTAATATTATACGAAATAAGATTATAACGATTACTATAGAATAGAATATTACGATTTTTGGAAAAATGTTAGTTCGTTAACCTACGACTGTATTTCTAAGAAAAAAAATAAATTACCAACAGAAATTTAAATATATCATAAAGTATCCTTTGATATATATAGAGGCTGGCAGACTGTCTCCGCTCAAAAATCTTTTTTATCGTATACAATGATTTATTTACTCTATCATGGGGGACTACTCTACACCTAAAACTATTACAACAGACTGTTATTTTTTTCTATATATCTTGGGTAGGGCACTGCTTGGAATTTCCTTTAAAAAAATGTTCATCTCGTTAAAAAATAACTAAATCGTTTCTCGTTCCTGGTTTAAGGAACTAAATCCTTTCCTTGTTTCTAAATAAAGAACAATTTTCGTTCCATGATGATTTTAAAATTGTAGTTATATAATTTGTAGTAAGCAATTGTTAGAGGCACCGGGTTTTATTGTTTTCAACATTTTTAATTTGTTTGTTTCATACAATTTAGGACCGACAAGACCGCAGCGCCTTGAATGACTTGAATTTTTGTAAACGTTGTCTATAGTCTATACTATCGTTAATACGTTTAATTATAACCCTAGCTCATTGTATTAACAAAATTAAAAAAAAAAAATGATAAAAACTTTTTTAATTCCCTATACAAAAGAATAAATTGACGAAAAAGGGAACAAATAATATCGTTCATGTTCCTCTAAGCGAACGAAATGTCAATATATTCCTTCATTCGAAAAAGGAGCTGCGTTCCCGTTGAATTCCTGAAAATTGAAATAAAATCATTGGAACGAGTTCCAAGCACTAACGTAGAGTAGGTTACTACTTCCAAAATCCGAAAATCCAAAAATTTTATCCAATTATTTTATCCAAGATTGAAATAATATTGTTGAATCTGTTTGTTTCGTAATTTTTAACATAATGACTGTAAAGACTATATAATATTGTGGTTGTATTGGAGGACATATTAAATAGGAATACATCGTTTGTTAATTTGTAATATTTGATATATTTCAATGCATTATTATCATATTCGTGTATTTTAATTGTTTAGGTCGGTTGGGTGAAAGCCGATACAAAAGCCATTCAGGCTATACACGACCACGTGATTACGCACAATGCTAGAGTATCCGTTTCTCACACCGATGATTCAACGTGGAATTTACACATAAAAAATGTGCAAGAAGAAGACCGTGGTCAATATATGTGTCAAATAAATACTGATCCAATGATAAGTCAGGTAATTTGATTTAAGTACTAGTTACTACTTGTTATAATATTTTATAATAAGGAACTTGAAATTATTTTATCACATACGATGTTAATTCAACATTGAAGCTTCCATTGGTCTTATAAATAATATATATTTTAAAAATTTAAATTATTTAACGTGTTTAATTATTTTTTTATTTTTTTTTATTTTTTTGGAACGAAGTTCCTTATGGGGCGTTAGGTGGATGGGAGTCGCTGGAAAAAAATCGCAACACCAAAAATCGCAACACCAAAAAGCGTAACACCGAAAAGCGTAACACTGAAAAATTGCTCGGCTCGGCTCGGCTCTGCTCGGCTGCCGGCTTACATATCCCCTCCCTCCTCTCATATTATCGTATGTCCCCACTAGGATCTTACCATCTGGCAACCGGGTTCCATTCGCGTAGGCTACCCAACATCGGTCGTCACGCGCGTAGAGGTGACCGTCGGGCGGAATGGGGGGGACCCATTAAACGAGTAATTATTTTTGACGAAGCATAACTTAGCCGGTATTCGACTTAGAGACCCCGGACCAATGGGCATCTCAATTTTTTAGGCCCCAGATGAATTTTCAACCTTAGGGAACCAAACCCCCACCCCCCCACATTTTGAGTTGAGTGTAACTCGGCCGGAATTCAAGTTAAAGACCTCGGGCCAAGGTGGAACCCATTCTTATTATGAAGACTACAGTTTTCCGCTTTAGGGAACGGGGGCACCTCCTCCCCCCCCTTTTGGATTTTGCTTTTTGATGGATTTTGGTCCGGGAGAGTACTAACACCAACCTCGCCAAGGGGAAACTCGGGGTTTTGAGTTTTTGATGGGATTTATTGGGATTTTCATAAATATTGTTTTTATTGATAAGGAAAGTGATAAGAATTTTATTTTCAAAATAATTTTTGCCCCTTAAATTTATAAATTCCATTGTGATTTCCATTTACCTTCTTCTCTATATACATACAAATCTATTAAACAAATGAAATTAAAATTTACTTTTGAAAAACGATAATCGAGTACAAGCTGTATCAACCGTATCATTATTAAAATTTCTTTCAGTAGAATTGACTTAACCATCAATAGGTTTTTTTTTTTTTTTTTTCCTTTTATTGGATAACCCGCGGCAACATAGGCCATTGAGTGTTGGGAGGGAACTGTAGGTTTTTAGATTGGGTAGGTTGGTACACGTGTGTGTTTGTGGTGGCAGAATTTTTATTGGGGCACCCGTAGGTTTCTGCCATGCCCCGGGTTGGGGGATGGCGGCACTTGTACTCCGGACACCGTGACTTGCCCGGAGAAAAATGCCGCCCAGTGGTCGAGAGGCGAACCCGCGACTGCCAGCGCCGCAGTCGACGCGTTAGACCTACTGATTAATTTCATAATTGCTTTGTACTTTTATAATGATTAAAATACCATTTTTTCATAATACTCAGAAAAAATTTATTATAATTTTATTACCATGCGCGCGATATATTTATACAAGCATTCATTTCTCTCTCTGTCTCTCTCTCTCTCTATCACTATTTATTTATATTTTTCTAACCATATATGTTTCCGCGTCTCGCATCACATGCACTGAACTTCGTTCCTGCCGAGTGTTCAACAACACTCACTGTTTTTTTTTTTTTTATTTTTTTTTTTATTTTTAACAAGATATATACAATCTGTACCCTTAGGCACAATAAGAATATGTGATAAAATATTTTGTACATGAAAACGTGAGGGAAGAAGCCAACCAGTGAAGGCACTACCTATAATGTTTATTTATATATATATTTTTTTTTTTTTTTAATTATTTGGATTATTCATTTAGTAAATCACGACACCAATTTCTTTTTTTTCTTTTTTTTTTCTTTTTATAAATGTTTGTTTAGTTTAATATATTTATTGTTTCGTAATAATATTAATAATAATAATAATAATAATAATAATAATATTAATAATATTACTACGAATTTTAATACTTACCATATAGTATATTATATTACTATATATTATTATAAAAGGTGTTCGATTTTTTTATGAATGAATTACACATGTAGATTTGATTTTTAATTACGTCTTTTGAATATAATTGTACACAGCGGAGGTTAATTTTATACATATATGATTGTTTATTTTGTTAACTAGCAGTTTTAAATATTTTGATTCTAATTTGTTTTTAAATAAAAGAAATATAATAACTTCCGAATTCTATTATAACTTAAGTTCAATGTAGGGTGATAGAAACAAACTAAATTAACATTCTTTTTACTTATTTTCGAGCTCCACAATAATATTTTCTTGTTGTGTTGAAAGATTTCATTAAAACTGCTAATCTTTACACTTGGTTTATTCACTACTATAGCCAAAGGAGAAAACGATTTGGTATAAAGAATATTATTATTAGCTCTTCTGATAGGTTTATTTATATTTTTCATTCTTTGTTTGCTAATATATCATAAATTGTGAAATAAAATGTAATTTTCGATGAAAGTAGAACTCCAGGGAAAATAATTCCCCACAGACCAATGAACAGGAACGTTATGATGCATAGAATTCTATTATCAAGATTGACAATACAATTTTTCCCCCAAAATTAAAAAAACATAATATCAAAATCGTTAATATTTATTTTTGTTTATTAGATGGGATACTTGGATGTAGTGATACCACCCGATATAATTTATGAAGACACTTCTGGAGATGTAATGGTACCTGAAGGAGGAACTGTGAAGTTAACATGCAGAGCCAAAGGCTACCCAAAACCACACGTTTTGTGGAGAAGAGAAGATGGACGAGAAATAGTTATCAAAGACGCCAGTAGCACTAAAACTAAAGGTTAGATATTACGTTTTTTTGTTCTTTTTAAGTATTTTGTCTATAGGTACATTCGATTATTAAGATGACATCAACACTTGGTAAAAAGATTTAAATATGTGAAAACCCCCGACATCACTTGTTAAATATTTATATTATAGAAGGACATCGTTAAACCGAAATACTGTCTAATTATTATATTTTGACTACCTATTCTAAATGCAATGGTGGGCAAGTTAATGAAAATAATTAACTGTGGCAAGTTAAGTTAATTCAATTAAATTGCCTTCAGTTAAGTTAAAAGTTAACAAAGAAAAAAATTTAACTCGATAAGTTTAAAGTTATGATGGAAAATAAAATTAACTTATCTCAGTTAAAAAAAAGTTAATTTTTTTGAAGGTACAATATTTTTAAGTCATAAACTACCATAGTATTTTATATACACGAACATTTGCCAAGACATTTAACACTGTGTAAAAAATGTAATTATTATAATATATAATTCGAAAATGAATTACCAAAATTGTAAAAAAGTCGAAGAATCAATATTTCCTAGTTGATTACGCATGACTCAAAAGTAAATTAACTTAACTGCTCGACAATGATAATTAACTATAAAAAGTTAAGTTACAACAATAAACATTTTAACTGAATAAGTTAATAAGTTAAAAACAAAAATAATTAACTAGTTAAGTTAAAAAATTAAAAAAAAATTAACTTTTTAACTTAACTTTAACTTTTTAACAAGTTAATGCCCACCTTTGTCTAAATGTTGTATAACTTTAAACTATATTTTGTGAACTCAACATCACCATTACAACTTACAAGCTAATGCTTATAGGTGATGTGTAACCACGATATGATATTTGTAGTTTGATATTATGTTCATGTTATATTTGATTTTATAAAATAAGCAATTATTATTATAATTGTTTAAATATATTTAAAAATTAATTTTTGGACATTTGAATAGGTATTTAATTAACACATAATTGAAAATTATAAATCACAAATAAAATTTTCCTCAATTTATAATATCAACTCGTAGGTTATTGTGTTGTGAATATTAAATATATATATATTCAATTTTATTAAATAGCATTCGTTCATACATTTTTATTTTTATATTATTTCATAATAACGTTTGGTGAGTAAGAATCTACTTTCTTAAACAATTTTGTATTCCAAATTGAGTGTGCGACGTCCAATAATGTTAAGTACAGCAATATTAGATAATATTGGTTAAAACAATTTCGAAAATTTAATTAAATTTATAAAATCTGATATTATATACCTCTAGAGAGAGAGAGAGAAAGAGAGAGAAAGTATAAGATGACGTTCAAACTTTATAAGGATTATAATATATGTGTGTATATTGTCATTCAAACCCTCTTGATCATTGTGAAATCTCCCAAAACCACTTTTAAGTTTATGTATGGGATGAACTTATATATCACCATTGTACATTTATTTCTTTGACTGCAGTACTTACCTATTTTGTTGACAGTTTTATCAATTTCAAACTAGAAGTTGATTTAATTTAGTACTTCCGCGTTATCGTAAGAATTAATTGACTCACGCAACACATACAATTCTAGGACCAATAAATATTATGATTTAATTTAATGGGTTTTCGTTTTCATAATAAACTTATTAAAATATAATTCTAAATAATGTACAAACTTCAGCGAACAGTCGTCGTGTGTGCATGTGTAATGTGTATACGCCTCTCCGTTATCGTTAATTTTCTATTTGCCTTTCGTTTTCACTTTGTCCTTTGTAACGCATACCAAAACATAAACATTCACAACTCGAAATTACCACCTATAATTACCACCCTTTCATATACTAATAAGTTAGGTTAGTTACGTATACATCTCTCCTTGACCTCATCTGGAACTGCAACGACATTTTAAACCATATAAATGAACTAACCGCAATATTACTCGATACAATGATTGGCATAATCTGTAATTATTATTTCAGAATCTTACCTCATCGATCAATCGAAATTGAATAGTTCTGGTTATCATCTAATTGCATCCAATCATAGTAATGGTACCGCCTCTGCAATTTCAATTCATGGGTTATTCAATTATATTGTCTTTTTAATAACCATAAAAATTGCTTACAATCCAGAGAAATCTATAATATGACAATAAACCATACTGTTCCCCTCACTAAAATAAATAGCTACTCCCTACTGTCCCTTAATACGAAACATAAAAACTGATCCATTCAAACACTTTATTTCAAATAACTAGGCCACAAATTCATAGTCCGTGGAGATATTAATGCAAAATATCTTTGCTGGGGTAGCCGAACCAGCAACCATCATGGTAACGGTCTTTTATATAATTTCCTCTAAACTCTACAAAATTCACTCTTTCTCTGATCCAATCGAATGGGGTGCTCTTTCCCACGTAAACACCTAGACATACTCTACACCTTCATTTTAAACGTACCAAACAGCCAATTTACCCTTGTGTCCAGTTCTCCTCACTACCAATTTGAGCATTTAACCCATTACGAACAATCAGAGTGAGATGAGAACAATCTAAGTGAGATGCATTTAAATCACAACTCATTGATTACTTAAATAAACTTAACTAAACTTAAATATAAAAATCTCCAGAAAACATTGAGGACTCCATAAACCCATAACTAAGTTAAATTAATCGATAAACAAGGCCAAGTGAGACTCCCCCCCAATACAACAACCCATTCCTTAATTTTCCTTAAATGTTCCTCCTTATACACGTTGAATATGGAAAAACGTCTTGCAAGAACGCTGTGTCAACACACCAAATATCGTTCAGACAAAAAAACGTCTGAACACAGTATCCAATAATTTAAAAATATTAGGTACTCTCTGTACACAGAATTTAATCATCCAATAACTATAATATAGCCTCACTATCCATACAAATTGGGCCAATCTGGTAAGTATTTTATATTTTACGTACACAAATAAATGCATAGTAGGTAATGAAATAAGTTTCAATAACATATCTCACGCTCAATGTCGTCTCATAATTTCTAAAATCGTGTAAATTATTCATTTTTAGAATTGAGAATTATTGTGCTTCATGTTAAAATATTTATATTTGTATAACTCGTAAAACAATTATTCTTGTAAGTATCACTTGATTTCTATAAGTCATAATATAGCTATTGATATTGTTAACTTTTATTTCATATTTCTCCATTAATTTATTTTATTCAACAAAACATACATATCAATTAAAAAATCATCTTTTAATATCTTTTAATTTTCGATTCGGTAAAAGTAGTGCCTATCTCATGGCGTATTCTAACACTTAGAATCAAATTGTTTTTTGAATTTAATGTTAATCGTATTAGTATGTGAAAATCGATAACAATATTAATATTTCAAAACAACCCTTCTCGATTAAAACAAAAAAGCTGTTTGGTAAATTTAATGAATAAAAAAAAAATATATCACTTGTCAACGAAATGCATTCTTCATACATGAAAAATTGTATATGAATTTATTTTTAATACTCTCCGTGCACATAATATTATATTAATTATAGATTATTGATTATGAACTCAATTCGGATGAAACTCAATTACTGGGTTTTATAGTTTGTCAATTATACTTCATCCAATGAACTGAATATTATACCCAGAGTTCAGCGGTCTCGTCAGATCTGTTTGCATTTATTTAAATCGGAAATATGTGTTTAATACGAAATAATTTTTAAGAGCAAAAATTAATTACGATAGTGATTTTTCGTTAAAATCTAATGGACGAACTTTGCGTTCCGTCGAATCTGTTATGTCAAACTCTTTGACTAATAAGCTAGTTGTTACCTGCCCCCTCACTGCCGTCTCTGTCAAAAACGTACGTTTTTGCGAATGGCAGTTGCTCCTTGACGCGGCCACAATAGTCCTATTGTCATTACTTCGTAGACACCAGACATGCTTCGCTCTCCTCCGTACATCTAAAATAAAAAGAAAATAATAATAATAATAATGATAAAAACTATGTTCGAAACTCTAGTTTGAAAATGAATATGAACGAAAAAAATAATAATAAGAAGAAAATAATCGATTCCTCATAATCCCAGTTTTAAACTTCAGATAAAAGTTTCTTCCGCCCTTCGTTTTACACTCCAAAGGCTTATTGAAATGCAGAGAAACAAAAAAATATATCGCCAGTTGGCAAAAACAATGGAGTCCGATGCAACCGAGATAGGGTAAAAGTATGGATCAGACGGTTCGGACGGCGATTTCAACCCTCGCCCGAGTTTGGGTGTGGGGAAAAAAAAATAACTCAATGTCATCATTAACATTTTTTGTGATTATTTTATTTTTTGCTTCTTCTCGATCTTAATCGAACTGACAACGTCCTATTGTTATCCAGAATCTTTATAGAACACGCGACTTGATACCACGGAATACTAAAATACTATGCACTTTAAAAAATACAAAATTTCATATCCTTGGATTGTCTTTTAAAATGGAAAAGATGATTTCTTATGATAAGACATAAAAATATTATCAATAGAATGATGATCAAAATAAAGTCCAAGTACCTAAGTAAACGTATTGTTATACGTCTTGTTAAACATATATTATTTATCACTTCTACCTTTGTGTGTACAATAATTACGCACATATAATAATTAGTTTCAATAATAATGAATTGCGAATTTTAATCATGTAACGTATTATGTATTGTAATGTTGTTTATGAAAAATGAGTAGCATTATTATTATTTTCAATTTTAGATTCTGAGTGAAACGATGAATGTATTGATTTTACAATGATGTGTGTTTTTTTATTTTTATTTATTTATTTATTTTTCTTTAAATGTAGAAAACTATACTGCAACTTGTTTGCGCACAATCTATAATTTTTACCCGAAAAATCGGAACTCGTTTGCGCACAAGGTTATATTAAATGTACAATTGGTTTGCGCACACCAACATAATTATAGTGGTGACAGATGGGCACTGGTAATCATCGACCAAATTATATACATACAAATAATG